TCAGCCCGTGAGGGAGCCGCGGAGGATATCTCTTGACTTGACATAATAGGCACTTTACGTCTGCGACCTCGACGAGGTGCCTGACTTCAAGGCCATGTACGAACTGTACGATGCTTGCACCGTCATGTTCTTCTTCCGGAACAAGCATATGATGTGCGATTTCGGTGAGTCAATTCGCTCTTTCTATTCAATCTATTCATCCCAAGTGTCCACTGCTTTTTTCGCGATATATAAGACACCGGTCATGTGACCCAGTCACTTGCTGACAATAACCAGGTACCGGTAACAACAACAAACTCAACTGGGTTCTCGAAGACAAGCAGGAGCTTATCGATATTATCGAGACCATCTACCGCGGCGCAAAGAAGGGTCGTGGTTTGGTCGTCAGTCCCAAGGATTACTCCACGAGGTATCGGTACTGAGTGTCCACGTCGAGCGTCGTTGCGCCGAGCCGTCTTACATTCGTTGTGCTGTGTTGGTGAAGATGTTGGAAGGCTGTTGATGATAGGGAAGCGGAGGAATGTAATCACCGTAAGCGTAATGAGGGACTAAAGCGGCCAACTATAGGCACAGGGATAGGATCGGGGTAGCAGCCTTTGGGTTCAGAATGGTATGACTATCCTTACTCGTTAAGAAATCAGTATGCTCAAACAATATTCACAGTCAACGAACACAGGTGCTCAACATTGTGGTGCGCGACAGGACAAGGTAAATTGCCCATGCTGTCATTCTTGTGGTGTGTCCTCTGAATACTCCACATCCTTCCCCATCCCACCCTCATATAGGCAAGCTCTCGCTCCTCTCCATACATCTTCCAGAATAGCCCGCCTGGGCAGTAGCGTGGGGAACACAACGACGACATCTTGTTCCCCTTTCACCACGATGGCAAGGTAGAAGCGCACCTCAAAGCCTTTGAACGCCTCGTGGATGAAGATATCTTGTATACTAGTGGTGGGGATGAACCTTGTGCTCGCAGTGGTCAAATATGTAGGCGAGGAAGTGGAGGTCTGTAAACCAAGCCCGCGGATCGCGAGCAGCGTTTCTTCTGTGAGAACGTCAGCCTTCGAATTAGACATGTGATGTAGTAGTAGTCATACCTGTATATCTTCTCTTCACCACAAGCCACAATACGAGAAGCGCACCAGGAGCCAAGTATCTCCACTGCACTCCTTCCGCCACCCTAACCACCCACGGCTCCATTGCCCTGCCCAATGACCACGATAGCTGTGTTGTTGCTTTGCCTGAACTCACACACCATTTCGTCCATAGCCCGACCAGTGTGAGCGCTCCCACCAAAATACGGACCAGTATCGAGATATAGTGGGATACGACTGCTGGGACGGTCTTTGACACTGTGCGCGTGGACACAACAAACGAGATGGTGGAAGACGCGGGCTGGACGACACTGAGTCTCTGGGAAGGCGGAGACGTGAAGCTTTGGATGAGAGCCAGCATCTATACATTCGTTATTCTAGACCCATCCCAAAATTGTACGGATGGCGGGTACCCTAAATTCGTGATGCTCACTCAAGGGATGTGCGACCAGGATCTCGGGTTTTCAGGCCAAAGGACACCAAAGGGACAAAAGGCCTATACCCTACATGCTAGATCTAGAGGGAGAGAGTTTGGGTAGCAAACGAACAAATCACGGAAATGCATCGTGGGTGTGGGTGAGTTGGAGGTTGCGGAGGTGGTCCAAGCTCCCCTCTCAGGTCTTCGTGCAGGCTTGGCAAATCTGCACCATCTTCCTCAAGCTCCACCACACTTTCTGGCCGACACTGGCCCTTTCTACACTCACCACAACACCACACAACAAAAGCCGCGAGAACCTCACACCACCACTACACCACTTCCTTGTGCATTCAATATGCCAGACGAAGAGACACCCCGCGCGCGATCGCGCTCACCAAGACGCTCACGCAGTCCCCCACCACGACGGCGATCCCGCAGTCCCCGCCGCGAGAGACGAGGAGGTTTCAAATGGAAAGACAACCAGCGGCCGCGCGAGGATAGAGACAGGGACAGGGACAGGGACTCGGGTCGTGATCGCTACAACGCACGCGACGACCGCAATGACCGCAACCGCAACGACTCAGATCGCGGCCGTGGCTACTCAGATCGAGGCCGTGGCTATTCAGACCGAGGCCGTGGCTATTCAGATCGCAACCGCGGCCCATCAGATCGTGATCGCGACCCCTCAGACCGGAACCGCGGACGCGAAGACCGAGCACCCAAGGACAGGGAACCGCGAGAGCGACCAGCAGCTGCGAAGCCGGTGGTAGCTGCTGGTTCGGGCGAACCCATGATCATCGTCACAGTCAACGACCGGCTGGGTACCAAGGCGCAGATTCCCTGTCTGGCGTCGGATCCGGTCAAAGTGTTCAAGGCCATGGTTGCGGCGAAGATTGGGCGGGGGGTTCATGAAATCATGTTGAAGAGGCAGGGGGAGCGGCCGTTCAAGGATAACCTTACGCTGGAGGACTATGGGGTTAGTAATGGTGTGCAGCTGGATTTGGAGTTGGATACGGGGGATTGAGCGGGAGTGGAATATGGGCTGTGGGGAGAAGGATTTCCATGGTGCATCATGGGCTCGAGGGTTTCGTGAGGATGAGGTCTGCATCTAGAATGTGCATGGAGGACCGTCAAAAGGTGGAAACCAGGGGTGGTCCATGGAGAGCTTCTAAGTTCATGATATGGAGTTTTGGAAGGCATAAGTCGAAATCTGACGAGCAAAAATACCCCTTTTATCACTTTTAGAGCGTGTATGAGATGGAGACACACTCTGGGAGAGATTATGTGGAATGGCATGTCTCCATTAATATCCACAAACGATTATTCCACTGCATGCTAGTGATGTTTTACGTCATGGTGCAAGCTTAAGAATGGTCTACACCACTCTAATCAGACGGGGAGGAAATCACAAGTTCAAAGGCCCCTCTATGACAGTTGATGACTTATATATTCGAAACAGCCCTCATAAATGTACACACCAAGAACCCCTCACGCCTTTCTGAAATAAGCAAGCGTACGTAGTTCTACAGCCCCACCAATCTCTCCTAGCAGGTATCTATCCATTACAACCCCGACCATCTCTCAAAACACACTAATGTAATTCCCAATCCTCTCCTTCTGGTTCTGCGCAATACACTCGGCAATCCAAGTAATATTCCGGATTTCCTGTTCGCGCAGCTTGACCCACGCATACACCACTGCATGCGTAAACTGGTGCGTAAACGCCATTTTCGAAATCTCCATTTCCTTTTGGTAGAAGAGATCTTCGAGACTGCGCGAGTCGCCGCCTACGCCTCCAGCCATGTTTCCAGGGCCGCCGGCGCCACCGCTGAGGCCCGTTTGGTCGAAGAAGGTCTTGTAGTCGGACACGGATTCTACGGCGATGCGGACGCCCTCCACATCGTCGGCGCGCGAGAGCATGGCCGTGCCTTCGGGGTGCAGGCGCCCGAATGACGGGTATAGTTTCTTGCGGTCGGCTTTGGAGAGCTCGGTGCCGAACGAGTTCAGCGTGATGTTGATGCTTCTCCTGTCTGCCTCGAACTCCAGGACCTCGGACATGACAGTTGCAGTCGGCGTTCCTGCAATATCGGCTGCGCTGTTCACCCACTCGTAGAAATCCTCGAGGTAGTTCTTATACAGGGTGTTCCGGATGATTTCGATGTTGAGCTCGTCCAGGTCTTGGTGGCTGAGGGAGCCTTTGAAGTAGGGCGCGAGAGGCGTCTCGATGAGGACGGAGTTGTAGAGTTCTTCAATGTTGGTGGCTACGCAGAGAACGGGCATCGTCTCAAACCAGCCCAGCGGGTGGCAGCGCTCGAGGAGCTCGCGGGTATCGCGCTCATGGAGGGTGCCTGTGATGAGCAGCGCTACGTTGTCGATCATGTACCCATATGTCAGGTATTCCATGAACTTGGTGAGAGACCCGGTTGCGTTGGCCTGTAGGTAGCGGAACTCTGAGACAAGCTTTTCGGTCGTTTTGTTCGCGAGCGCTGACGTGGAGGGATTGGGTGGGAGCGAGGAGAGGAAGTCACCATAGGCGGGACCGAGCTGAAGCTTAACATCTAGGATGCACTGTTAGCTTTCAATCATGTGTAGGCGAATGTCTGCGCATACCGTCGATTGTCTCGCACTGTGTCAAGTTGTTGTAGTTCTGGCCTGTGAGGAGGGCGTTGCGATAACCGCGTACAATGCCCTCAATGTAGCTATCTCTACGTCAGTAACGATGTCGTAAGGGGTTTGTGGGAGGCGCGCGTACCCGAACTTGACATTGTAGAAAAGACCCTCCATTGTGATGTGTGTGTGGCAGCAACAAATGGATGAACTCTCGTTGTTGCTGTGGAGGCGGCGGAGTTGAGGTTGCAGGTTGATGCAACGAGACAGGGATCATGGAGCTCAAGCCACCGCACGTGATTTTGGCGACTCGCGCTAGCTATGTTTGCAATAGCACGAAGTCACATCCGAAGTGCCAAACGATGAGATTCAAATGTTCGAGCAACAGCCCATTTTCGGGAAGATATGGGCATGTTGACGAGTGGTGTTGAGGTGCACACCGGTAGGAAAACACCCTCTCCTCTGTGAATGAGGGTCCTGTGATCTACTGCCCCCGACACCAAAGCCCCATCATAGTGCCCTCCACAGCAGGCACCAACCGACTAGCAAACACCACGGACACAAGATGGGAGGTATCATCAAGTCTTGTACCTGCATGCTCCGCAAGACAATTTAAAGCACCGACCCCATCAACTGGAAAGGCTCCACACCGCGAGATCGACTCCCCAGAACTGCCCGACAAGGAACAAGGTGAGTAATACGCCTTACCCATCACCAGCACCTTAGTCAACACCACCTCTACGAGTTCCATTCTCCTTCATTCTGATCCATTGCCCTCGATCGCCGATTAATATCTGAATGGTGTTGGTGCAATTCCAATATCAACCGTCTCCTATATAATCATCATAAAAATGTACCGTTTCTATAAGCAAAACGCCACATTCTCAGTAGTATAGTGGTCAGTATCCGCGCTTGTCACGCGCGAGACCCAGGTTCAATTCCTGGCTGGGAAGTCTAACTTATCTTTGCTATATTTTTGCTTCGTTGCTTGGAAGAATATTGGAGTTTGTTTCCCTGAGATGCCCCTGGAGAATTGGATAACGGCCAATAGGAACATGGAGGTGATCCACAGCCAGTCTTTGATAACCAGTTCACTTGAACATTTTTCTTGCTCTCGGTCGATCCAAACTTATATTTTGCTGTGTTACTCCAATTGCTCTTGTCTCCCTCGTTTTGGTATCGCTGTACTTGCACAATGCTCACGAAGCTAATTATAGTCCGCTTGTCTGTCCAGAAATCGCCCATGGAAACAACACCCCCTCAGGTGCGGATATTGTCTTGGATCGAGAACCAGCCAACCTACGACCGCATTTCCATTTCATGTAGCAGTTTGTAGCTACTTGCGCATTCGGGGAGAGGCTTGGCTTGTATTGATCGTAAACATCACCCCATGCCAAAACACGGCAACCCATGGAGACCAAAAGCATCTTTTTCTTGCCAAGGAGTTAAATAGACTTCGTAGACAAAACAATTGTAGATAGTTCCGCGGTGAGGTGCTGAAAAGCATCGAAGATGGACCTATTGCCTTTCTCCTCATCCAGAAGTCTTGGGGTACAGAAACAAGTTATGGTATCCCAAAGCAAAAAGAAACCATATCTCGAGTCTCAAACCCCTGACATTGAGCATGCTTTTGGCGGACTCGCGACCCAAAACAGTCTGGATCCAACTCCCCCAAATCTCCCAAGACACCAAAGTCGATCCCAGCCGCGCGAGGCTTGATGTAACCCTCTGTCGGTATCGAATTCTGGTTCAGCATCGTACGACTGCTATCTCCCCATATGGCTTCGACACGTGATCTCGGCAAACCCGGTGCCCAAAACCCAGCTTCAGCCCTGCAAACCACATCAGCGCCATGCAGTTGCAGCGCACACGCTTCCAGCGCATCGCTTCACCGCCGGCAGCGGTTGACCGCCCTCGACAGCTCATGTGCACTGCAGCCTCATCTATTCTCCGTGAAAATCACGCGTTGAGGGACTTCGGGATCATTGCCCTGCGATCGCGCGAGGAGGGCGTCCGGTGAGCTTTAAACCTGACTCCAACATGTGGGAAACGTACCCCACAGAGCAGAGTGGGATATGGCGGGCAAGCGGACCGTCAGTGCACCTCCAGGTTCTGTCGCTTGTCAATCATGCCCAAAAACAAAAGACGCTGGCGATCCAGAATCCCGCGGCCACGGTATTCATGCACGCCTGCGCCGGACGCTATTGGCTCGATAGCGGGAGTTCATGGATGGGGGCTTGAGGGCTGATTGAAACGACATGGCGGTGATACAGCAGCCCCACGCGAGTGGAGGTGACGAGGAAAGGGATTGTGGGCGAGAGGCTTGATAAGCCTTGGGAGGCAGCAGGTTGGGGGTGTCAGATGCGAGGCTGCTGCAAGAAGGCCCTGTTGCTGTAACCTGAATTGCCCTTCCCGTGTCTTGGGCGGGCTGGAGTTTGGTGGAGTGGGTCGCTATCTTTGGTCGAGTCCTGTGTGCTTTTCTTCTTCGAGCATCCTCTTGTCCTTCGTCACCATCTTTTCTCTCCAAAGTCTCTCCAGTGTCACGTCGTCGACTCTCCTTTCACGTCGACAGCGTATTGAAGCTCGAGTCAAGCCTTTGTGTAGATGTTCTCGACATAACATGACACACATCCCGCAACATGTACCGCCGGATCACGACTCCGCTCTCTAAACAACCTCCTCGATAAGCCCGCCCGACACATTTCAGATCCGCAGGTTTTGCTGGCGACTTCGCGTCATAACCGACCATGCGTTTTGGCATCGAGTCATGGATTTGGTACACTTTTGCGGTTGGAATCATCGTTGCGCGACTGTGAGTTTTCCCAGCCTTCCACATCCGAGGCCGCATAAACATTGCACAGACACCGTTGCTCAACGACTCCCCACGTCCGGTTTGCGCCACGCTAACAATTCTCCTTCACAGGACATCCCGGACATTGCTCTTCGGTTCGCCCAAAGGTCTTCAATATGACGACTGGATCATGGGCATATTCGTTGTGGCCTGCTACACTGTCCTCATTGTGATGTCCAATATCGAAGCAGAAGCGCAGTCTAACCTCCTCCCTCCCGGTTTCGATATTTCTACCTTAACACTCGAGGACATCGCCGATCGGGAGTATGGATCAAAAATTGTCATTGTAGTGGAACAGATGCAAATCGTCGTAATCTGGGCCTGCAAAGCCTGCCTGCTAATTCTCTATCACCGCCTTACCCGCATGGTGGCTCCAAAATCCAACGTTGCCATCAAGCTTCTCGCCGCGTACGTCGCCCTCGGATTCGTAGTCATGGAGATCCTCTACTTTGCCGCCTGGTGTCGTCCCTTTCCGCAGTACTGGGCGGTCCCGACCAAATCATCGCAATGCAACGCACTGATCAACCACCGCATCACAAACGCCGTCTTCAACCTCTCGTCCGATCTCATCATGCTCTGCATCGCTCTACCCATGTTCCTCCGCTCTCTCCTACCTTGGAAGCGGAAACTGATTCTCTGCTGTATCTTCTCCCTGGGCATATTCGTCATCATGGCCTCCGTGCTCAACAAGTACTACTCATTCACTGCCCCATATGAGAGCACATGGATATCCTGGTACGCCCGCGAATCCAGTACTGCCATTCTGGTCGCAAACCTACCCTTCACATGGACCTTATTGAGGAAGTTGTTCAAACTCGGAGCCTTCGATGAACACCATCCCCCACCCCCAACATACCATTCCTCCCGCACAGCCGGCGGCCGAAGGACCCAACGTGTGCATCACGGAAGCGGAGGCGGGAGCCACCCATCAGAAAAACCCGCCAACGACAGTGTCAGCCACACAAAATCGCAAGCCAGCGCCCACTCCATGAGCCTGATCGGCTCGCTAGGCAAGCCGCGCATCCTCCACGGGCAAAAGGTCAGCGACAAGAGCCAAGATAGCGGCAACGCTCTCCTCGACGAAGAAAATATCCAACAGAAAGATTTCGGCGCCATCTCCCCACCTCCGGACGTGCACACCACCGACCATCCCAAACACCACGAATCAGAAGATCTGGATATCGACCTCGAGCGCGCTTTGAACTCTATATCACCTATGCCCACCCACCTCACCCATCTCACAGGGCCGGCAACTCCGCCTCAGCGGCCACGGCCCATGTCCCCTGCCTCCTCGCGCACTTCAACGCGTCTCAGTTTTCATGAAGCGGTACAGCAGTATCCAGATGGGACGGGCGGATTTGTGACGTCGCCAAGGCGCGCACATTTATTACCAACTTCGCGAAGCGGGTCGAGGGCTTCCAGTATTGCGTCGACGGATCGGCGGCCGATGAGTCCGGAGACGGTCGGGGGTGGGGAAAGGAAAGTGGCGGCAGGCGGAGGGGGGAGGAGTGCGAGGGATAGGAGGGCGAGGGCGAGATTGAGTCGGTGATGGGAGTGTTGCTGGAGGGGTTGGTGAAGACGACGATGACGATGACGACGACAGGAGACGATAGGAGACGATAGGAGATGAGCATTTCCACGGCGTTTGGGTTTATGATTTTACGACAGAGATACCTTGGGACGGGAGTTTACGCCATCATTTTAGCATTCATTGTCCATTTCATTTTCTTTTGTCTCAGCGCGGCAAGTAGGGAATTTTGCTGCATTTCCTTGCGGAGCGGAGAGAGGACTGGATGTGGAGCGATGGAGGGGGACTCGTCGATCAGAGAAGCACGGCACATCACATGTATATTGTATAATCGCCAAATACCACTTATTACATACCTTTTACAACACATCATCCCAACTGCTAGAGTTCCAACTCAATGATAACCCATCCTACCCCAATCCACCCTCATCTCCCTACTTCTGACCACTGTCCAAACCTCCCCCAGCATCTTCTTCCAAACACTCTATATACTTCCTCAGTTGTTCCTTCTCTCTCCTCCAAACAAAGACATATATTTGTCCCCCCCATCCAAGAGCTCACAAGTTTGTTTGCGGGCCCCAAACCATCGATAGGAACTTTATATCTCAAACAACGCCACTCCGATGAATGCATTCCAAGGAACCTTCATCTTGTATATTCTCCACCCCCACCCTTGATGCCAACCTACAACATCAAAGCACTACACGACTCGCCTCACAGGCCCGATATAGGTAACTCCAAGACCGCTCTTTCCTCATCCGGCACATCTCCTTCCCTTCTCGGTACCACCATCAGCAAAATTGTCCAGTGTACATACGGGTATGTATCCATTTCAATCTACTCCATTCCACATGCATTCCTCTGAGGAAGAAAAACAGTATATACGTACGTAGCGCTCTATGATTTTGCCCGCCAGTCTAAAACCCAACCCAAGCAAACGAATTTCGCAAACGAACCAGTTTTCCCAACCCAACCCATTTCTACGAAGAGCAATCCAACAATGTACTACGCCGGTCTATCATCCATTTTCCCAACGCCCATGCCAATGCCAATGCCCACACCCCACGCTAACGCCAACACCCAACATCCAACACCCCAAGCCCCCTCAACATCATCTCCCCCCCACCCCCCTACCCCACCCTCCCCTCACACAAAACTCAACCAAGACACAAAATCATCAAGTATATTACTCTCGATATGTAGGTACTCGGTCCCATCGAAGAACAGAAAGAGGGAAAGAAAAAGAAAAAGGAAAAAAAAGGGCGCACTCCATCTGAATGCCAAAACACGTCCCAAAACACCAGAAGCTCCAATCCCAATTCCTCCCATCGAGAACAACGGAACAAACGCCAAACCATGAAAAGTGCAAAGCCATCCATAACCAACCCACCCCCATTACAGGCGGGATGGGATGGGACGGAAAAAGCAGTGTACCTTATTTTTTGTGATGTGATGAGATGGTATGATATGCCAAGCAGCCAGTCAGCCAGCCATGATTCTCAACAACATGTATATATATGTGTGTTGTCCGTGATAATCAGAGCCGATGCCTTCCACTTCATACATGTTTTTCT